CTTGGTATTCCTTGGGCGCCGCCGGCCTGTGTCTGCTCTGCCCAGTGGCGGCCGTTTCAGGGGGGGCAAAACGCATGCCTTGCCCCCCCCACCCTGAGAACTGGGGGGGCAAGTGCCCCCCTTGCCCCCCCGGTTGGTACGCCCATGCATGTAAGTACATAGGCATATCGTTTTTTTTTCGCCTCTCTTTTGCTGTTGCTGTGTGCTAAATTCTAAGAATGCAAAAGCCGTGTCAAGGCAATTTTTTTCTTTTACTTTTTGCTTTTGCAGTTTACATCAATTCTTGATGTGAAATAAAGGATTGATTGATTGATCTGTTGGCTGATTGATTAATTGACTGAACTGTCACTGCGCATATCGCTTTTTTGTCTGAGTTTTGTCATTTGCGGAAATCCTTCTCTTGTTCGGCGTGATTGACTGTCGCCGCGTTCTGCAGGAAACTGCACTCAGATACTTTTTGTTTCGTTTACAGTGTACGGCAGTGCGTACAGTTTCTCTCAGCAATGCAAAGAAACGCGGTTCCATTTTCTCGTCTGACGCCATGTAGTAAGGATAATGTTCTCAGGGACAATGAGCAAGCGAAATGCCATGTTAACTGTCCCTCCCTGCGCATATTGCTTTTTCTTTTGTCTGAGTTTTGTCATTTGCGGGGTCCTTCTCTTGCTCGGCGTGATTGACTGTCGCCGCGTTCTGCGAAAAGCTACCCTTACATACTTTTTTTTTTTACAGTGTACGGCAGTGCGTGCAGTTTGTATCTGCGGTGCGAAGAAACACGGTTCTTTTCTTAACTGACGCCTTGTATAGTACTCGCGCATTTTTCTTCGAACAAGAACGAGAAGAAAAAAGTATGAAAGACATTTAATGCCCTGCAATACCGAATTCGAGCGCAGATCTTGAGGAGGAAAAGGAGAGGAGGGTACGGAGAGTACAGTATGCCCCTCCTCCTCCTTCTTCTCCTCCCTCCTTCTCCTTCCTCCTCCTCACTCGTGACCCTCATGGCGTCACTCGTGACCCTCGTGATGTCACTCGTGACCCCCGTGACGTCACACGTAACTTCACATGTGACGTAATTATGGGAAATGCCCTATAATGCAACGCGCGGTTACGCCGACGGTGACGGCGTCGCCGCTCAAGCCGGAAACAGGCGCTTACGAGCTGCGCTTTAAAAGAAAGCACCGTGTATCGTCTATACGGCTGTTGCCTGCGACGACTCGATAACGGCGGCCCCCGACGAAGACGTGTTATGTCTACTCACGTTATCGAGCGAGCGCGCGGCTTCAAAAAACAAATCTGGCCGCGGTGTGTGGGAACAGGGTTCTGCGGAGGGTCACCAGCAGCCTACCCAGTCTGGCAACTGCGGTCACTCAAAGCAGCAATCTCACTGTTTATTACAAAAGACCCGGTGCACTCTAAAAGAAGCCCGTGCGTCTAGTTTCCCGCACAACACTCGGAGAACCAATCACCGCGACTTACGGAGGCAGCACAGTTAAAAAAATTGTATGGGACCCATATACCGTTAAAATTGCAATAAGCTGGAGAAAATTCAGCGACTCTTATCCAGGTTTATTTTTAATAAATACAGCCACGTTCATTCCCCCACCAAACTATGTGAACTTCTCAATCTTCCTACATTTGAATCAAGAACGAAATATGAAAGGTTAAAGTTTCTTTTTCAGATTGTTCATAATTGCGTAAAGATAAAGAAATCTGAGTACTTTGAAATTTGCTCCTCCGAATCCTCAAGACATCGTCATAGCATGTACATTCATAATCCATCTGTTAAAGACGATTGCTTTAAGTATACAGTTTTTTTCTGAGGGCTATTAAAGATTGGAATATGTTACCTGATTCTGCTGGGTCATCTATGTCGCTGAATGAGTATCTGGAGCGTGTCACTGATATTGTTGTATGAGCTACAAATTAAAACCCCTATAGCTCGTGTAAAGAAATGTTTCAAAACTACGAAGTGATATCCGTTTCGTAAACTGCCGAAATTACGAAGCATCTCAATATACTTGTAACCTTTGTGTATGCTTCCATGTAAGTGTACATGTTTGTTTGTTGCTGTCTTTTTTTTTTCTCCAACCTTGTAATAGCCCTGTGCAAGGGCTGACAGTATCAAGAAATGAATGAATGAATGAATGAACACAGAGTGCGTTTTTTGGTCTAAACATATGTTTCGGGATCGCCATTCGCTGAGCTGCCTCCGTAAGTTGCAGTGATTGGCTCTCCGAGTGTTGTGCGGGAAAGCAGACGCACGGGCTTTTTTTAGAGTGTGTTCGACGCAGACATAACGGCAGAACTATCTGCAGACACATTTCAAACGCGTTCGAAGTATGTCTGCTTCGTATGCTACGACCAGTGACAATCGCTGTTAAAAAAACTCATGGCGTGGCTTATTGCATTCTCGCTTCCTGATTGGCTCTTCGGCGTTCTTATCGGCCAATGCCGCAATCTGATTGGCTGCGGAGCGTTAATGAGATTTCCAGGACTGGTCACGCCCCGCCTTTCTTAGGCTGTCGGTGACTGTATACGGAGCGCAAGTTCGTCTGCTCCTTGCACACGGGTTGCAATGATGTCAGAACGCAAGGCTCTTATTGGCTGATTGGAAAAAAATAGTGTATACCCGAAGGCATCTAGCATTATGTCTACCCACTATCCTTCCAATCCAAGCCAATCAGAACTCGGCGTCATTGTGACGTCACCGCAACTCCTGCGCAAGAAGCAGACGACTCGCTGCCCGCATAGGCTTCATATAGCGATGTGCGCGGCCAAAAGCGTCGCTGTGGTCAGCTTCCCACGATTGGCCAAACCTCGGGCATATGAGCAATGTAAGATTGTCAACTTTCACGGTGTTAGTTTCGAATTGCGATGGCGCCTAGCTTCTACTGTGCTTTTTAAACACACCATCGAACCCGTCGTCGCACCCGATGGTAAGTAACCAGAATAACAACTGGTGACGTCACGGCGAGGTAAATCCCAGACGTGACGTCACGGAGGGAAACCATAAGAGGGCGCCACCGAAACATCTCGGCGCTAATACCAAGGCTTGAAGATTGGATGGCGTACACACACCGGCGTCAAAATGGTGGCTCCCAAAACCGAAACTACTTCACTGAGCGATAAAATAAACGAAAGTCACAGGAATAGGAAACACATAAAATTATTATTGTCTTCTTCGTAATATTATTATTGTTTTTTTTTTGTTTTTTCTTTTACGGTATTGGGCAGAAGATAGCATAGCGGCGGTGCCCCACTGACTGCTGACGCTGATTAAATGTTCGATCTCTCTGCCGTCACTCGCGCTGTGATGGATAGCATCGTACTACAGCTCGAGTTGCTGTTTCCTTTGTTTTGCCGCCTCGACTCTCTTCGGGAACCGAGTTACAAATACAGACAGGTGTATTCAAACACGCCTCATTCATTCAGATATCCGCGGCACTCTTGTCACCCCCCCCCCCCCCCCCCCCACAGACACACACACACACACAAACACTCGCACACGTACCTAAGTAAAAGGAATAAAGTTGAAAAAAAGAAGGAAGGCGAAAGCTGGATGTAGGGAAGTTTTTGAGAGAACGGTTTTGGTAGATTATTATTGTGATTTTTTTTTTCTTTGGCGCGTTAAGACATAGAGTTATTATAGTGTACGCTAGAGGTTCAAGTGGCGCTAGTGTCTGGCCGACTTTCGGGCGCAGACTGAAGCAGACAGCAACCAGTCTCCTTTTGCGGTGCTCTTGTGCATTGGAAAGACGGCCGTGCATTTTGGCCCTTCGCGGGAAAATAACATGGACCACTTTTGTTATTTGGACCGTACCGAATAGGATGCACCTTTAATAACGTTGTAAAACTCTAATTACTTTACTTGCAGTATTTTTCTTCACCAGCGAACGATGTAAAACTTCGCTATATTTCAGGCTCAAGCCGATGTTCTATCAGCAGATATGTAAAAACGAGCGACGATTCTAAGCAAAATAACAATCGAAAGGAATGTAAAGTGTGTTCAGGGTTCGCCAGCATTCCGGTCGAATAGGAAATAATAAAAAGACACGTTCCTATGCACGTCAGCTGTCCCTATATAAAAATGGCCCCGTCGTGCATCTTTACTACGAGCGGTTAAAAGCATTCAATGCCTAAAGAATAAAGTATGTGGGCTATGAAAGTTGTGTTTTTTCATTATTTCCTATTCCGGGCAGCTTTTATCGGGCACCTGCTCCCTGGTTTCTCCCTATTTTCATAGATTTCGAGCGTGCGGGTGATATTTTGAACGCAGAACATCTTCACGCATATCCATGAGCAGAAAGAATAAAGCGGTACCTATATTTACTGCAAATCGGACTATATTACGTGACGTTCAACTTATTCTGATCGTCAGCGTGCACAAGCAGTTTCTGATCCGGTGTTACTGCGTAGTTCTTGCCCCCTCTCTTGGCGCCGACGGCGTCTCCGCACCAACAGTGTCCGACAGTGCACATAAATGTATCTGTATGAAGCTATTTTATCACCGTTTTGAATGCGGAATTGGAAAGAAAACGCCGTAACTGACCAATTATTTCGTCGGCTTGACTGAGAAATGTTCCAAGCTACCTAGTACGTACGAATTATTCGGGATATTTGCTCTTGTGATCGAGCGCAGGGAGAAAATGCACTCACTTTTTCCCATTAACAGGCATTACTGGAAGTCACTTTTCTTGGTTGCAAACTGCTTCAATTTGTCTCAGCACACTAGCGCCAGCTGAACCTCTAGCGTGCATTATATAGTCACTCTATGCGTGAAGACAAGGGCAAAAAAGTGTGGCTTTAAAACAAAATAATTTATTTATTTATTGATCCTTTGGGAGGGAGGATGGCACAAGGCCGCTGGGGGGGTAAGGGGGTTGAGGGAGGGGGGGGAGTGTCTGGTTTTTTCGAAATTGGCATCAGTTCCGCCGTCTTTGGTCTTCGGTGTCTTCTGCAGCACCTAAGTCATGCAGGCCATCCTGGACCAATCGAAAGGAAAGAGTAAGTCAGCCTACACCATCCTGGTCAGACCGCTAACGCTACCAAAAGTGGCGAGAAGGTGTCTATTGGCTGGTTGATCGAAGAGGTGTTGAACGAGGGTTGCATGGTCGGAATGAGGGATGTGTACGATCGTGTCCCGGCCGGTCGTGAATGCGGAGCAATCCCATATAAGATGAAGGAGGTCTGCTTTTGCTGTCTTCTGGCAGTGAGGGCAGCTTAGGGGAATATTGAGGTCGATAGGGAGCCATTTTTGAATAATATGTGGTGTGTATGCAGCGTTAGTCATGATTTTGTTAAGAAATACTTCTTGTGCGCGCGTGTATTTGTCGGTGGGGGAGAAAAGGGTTTCGGGTGTCGCCCTCTGGAGGCGATCCTTACTATCTTTGCGGATACGTGTGCGTAGATAGTGCAGAAAACTCCGAGGCGTCATCAAGGTCAAATAGGGATTTGCGAAGGGGATCTGTGAGGAGGGTGGGGTTGTAGTTACGTTGCTCCCACGTGCCTGTGTGGCGGCTGCATGTGCTGCAGCGTTTCCTCCTGGGACCCCGGTATGGGCTGGCGTCCAGAGGATCTGAACATCCGCGCCCAAGTCTTGAAGCATCCGAAGGCGTTTACGGATTTCAACAGCGGTAGCATCTTCGGTCGTTGGTGTTGACAGTTCTTCTAGAGCTGCGACGGAGTCCGTGTAGATTCGGTATGTACGCGTTAGCGTCTGTTCTCTTTGAAGATCAGGGAGGTTGGGAATCGAGCAGGTCCCTCCCCATATTGCTAATAGTTCAGCCTGCAGGGCGGTGCCTTGCGGTAGAGTGCATGTATGAGCGCCTGTGAGCTCTGGTCGAGAGGTGCAATGCCACGCTAATCCGGCTCGGTCCGCCAAAAAACTGGCGTCAGTGTAAATGTGAATGTGTCCATTATTTTCAGCGTTGTGGTGCTGGTAGGCCATGCGGTTACGGAGGTCGGAGTTTTGTGTAGGTATCGCTTTGATGGGTTTTAGGCTGATGACGGGGCTATCCCACGGCGAAGCTTCATCAGGGCCGCTCCAGGCAACGTGACGCTGAAGGTCCCATGCTAGGGTGCTTCGCCCTTGTAAGGTATTTTCTAATCTAGAGGTAAATTGGCTACGTGCTTCAGCCATAATGACATCTATGGGAGGTATTGGCACCGTGGCCAAGAGCCTGTCGTTGCGTACGTGTTTGGGCAGACCGGCGATGGTGCGCAGCGTGGCCCTGTGCAGGCGTTCTATGTCTCGTAGCAGGGTTGGGGTGCAGTCGTAGGCTGGTGTACCGTATAGTATCCGGCCAACAGCCGTAGCACGCGCCAGTGTTTGACAAGATTGCTGCCGGGCTCCACCATATTTATTGGAGACCCGTCTAATGGTGTGTAGCAGTGGGGACCAGTGTTTGCGCAGATGTTTAGTCCACGCTTTAGGGCTATTACAGCTGGCGATCTGAATCCCTAGGATGCGAGTCTGGCCATTGCTAGACTGGATGTCCTGCGAGCCGACGTGGAGGGTAATTTGGTGAGCGGGGTTCGTCACGTGCTTGCCATCTACACTGAGCAGTTCTGTTTTTTCCGGGGATAGCTCTAGACCTAGCTCCTCGAGAGTTTGCGAGACGCTGAGGACCGCCGCCTGTAGTTCGATCTGCATTGTTTGACTGTCCGGGTAATCCGCTGCTTCAGTCCAAATTGTAACATCGTCTGCATATATAGTAAAACGGGCAACAGTGTCACGTTCCAGCCGCTGGGCCACCCGTGTCATTGCTAGATTGAACAGCAAAGGTCCGAGGATGGACCCCTGGGGGACCCCCCTATCCAAGAAATAGGTTTTCGGAGTCCATCCCGAGGCCTTTCCATTGAGTTGAATAGGTCGCTGTTGGAGGAACGAGCGAATCCAGTCTTGGGCACGTTGGCTTGGGTAGCGCTGCGCTAATTCTTGGAGTATGGCCTCCTGTGAAACGTTATCAAAAGCCTTACGCATGTCTAAGGCTAAGATATAGTCGGGAAGCGCTTTCCTACTTCGGCGGTTAATGACACGGCGTAAGAGCCACAGACAATTGTGCGTCCCCATGTTAGGCCGGAAACCTGCTTGAGCCGGGTGCAAGCCGGGTTGTACATATTCGAGGTAGTGTTGAATGCGGGTATGGATCATTCGCTCCATAAGTTTGCAAACGGTAGAAGTCAGGGATATGGGGCGCAAATTACTCGGTGTAGACGGGTCCTTTCCGGGTTTAGGGATTGGGTAGATCAAAGCTAGTTTAAGACTATATATCTGGGACTTGCGCAGATGCCCAGGATTCGTTGAGAATTTCAAGGAGCTGACGCAAAGTCGTTTCGCTCAGGTTGCGGAGTTCTTGCCAAGTTATACGGTCATGCCCCGGTGCTGAGCGAGCCTTCCCTTGTCTGAGAGCTGCCATGAGCTCGCCGAGAGAAAAAGGCCGTTCAAGAGGTTCATGTGGCGTTGAGATGGTGATTTCGGGGAGAGGTTGAGGGGGGTTGGTTTGCGCGTGCGGAAAAAAAGTGCGAATAACCTGGTCTTCCACTGCGATGGGATCGTTTCGAAGAAAGAGTTCATCGAGAGGAGACGCACCTTTCTTCCGCCCTAGCATAGAGCGTAAGATGCCCCAGAGATGTCGTAGGCCCGGTTCATGGCTGAGTTTAGAGCAGGTGTCCTGCCAGCGTGATGTTTCGAGCTGGCATTGATATTGGATGAGGACCTTATAGTGGTCCTTTAGGCGCATGAGGTCTTTGTGTCGCTTGCCTCCATGTCTGTACTTCATAGTAAGACGCTGTGCCCTTTTCCACAGGTTGGCGAGATGTGCATCTATGGGCCCAACCGTGTCGTCGCAAGTAATCTCTTCAGAGGCCGTGATTCTGGTCTGCTCTAGGACGGAGGCGAAGGTCGAAAAATCGTTAAAATCTGTAGTAAGATGACTCCGAAAAAGTTCCCAATTTTTAATCCGGCGGGTGATTTTTACTCTGAATTTCTTTCGGTTCAAAGTGATAAAGATTGGAAAATGATCGCTACCCCAGGTGGCAGTCGCGAGCTCCCAGTGACGGATGAGTTTCGATGTTGACAACGTGAGGTCGGGAGAGGTATCTTGTTGTTTAGCATGAAGGCCAATCCGCGTGTAGGTGCCCGGGATGTTCCCAATATCGAGTTCTGTGAGTTCAATAGCGTCAGCCAGAGTTTTACCTCTGGTGTCCGCGTTTGGGTACCCCCAGTGTTGATGGCGGGCGTTGAAGTCGCCGCCAATTAGAAGAGGGGTCCCGTTTGCATGCACCTGCAAGTTCTTAAGCCACGCAAAGTCGTCGTCTGCATGCTTACCCGTAAAAGGGCGATAATAGACGGATGCAATGATGAGAGGTTGTTGTCCAGGAGGACGCACTTTAGCAGCAACGATCTCACGCACCTCTGTGCAAAGGTTTGGTAAGTCTAAGGCTGCAGCTGTGCAGTCAGCGCGTATTAAGAGCGCTGCTTGGCCCTTTGCTAACGGCTGCGAGTGTCCCTTGTATAAGTGCGTGATGGATGGTTTCTGGAATACTGTATAGCCAGGAAGTGTACAGCTGCCTCGAGTCTCCTGCAGTAAAATGGCCAGAGGTCGTAGTCGCCGTATGTTCTCGCGTAGCAAGGCTCCTGTCTGACCAAAGCTCCGGCAATTCCATTGTATACAGATCGGTGAGAAACCTATTGCGCTTCGGAAGGTCGCCGTCGTTTGGGCTCATCATTCATCGTTAAAATATTTTTTTGGATTTCCGCTAGCATGTCTTGCATCTTTTTTTGAAGGACAGTGGTAACAGTATGGAATTCATCGCGGAGACTCCGTTCGAGACGATGATTCTCCGCTTGGCGCTCGCCCCGGATGATGTTGAGCACGCTCGTATACTTGGAGTGCTCGTCTAATAAAGGGATTGTAGGGGCCTGTTTTGAAGTTGTGTGGTGCGACTGAGAGCTTGCTGTGGTTTTTCTACCTCGAGAGCGGGAGCGACTGTGAGCCCGAGACCGGGACCCGGCACCGGAGGCTGGTTGTGTAGCTTTGTTCACGTCAGGCGCCGGTGTTGGGACGCCCATGACCTTGAGGTGGGCCAGCACCTGCTCCATTTGGTCATGCAGCCGTTTGTTTTCCTCATGGAGGCGCTTATTCTCTTGCCGCATGTCATTCATCATTTGAAGAATCTCAGGAGGTAGAGAGGATGCCGGCTTGGGGGGCGGCGGGCCACTGACTTCGGCCCATGTTACGTTACGTTTTTCAGGTGGGGCCCGCGGGGTTGGCGGCTTTGATTGGAGAAGTCGGCTAGGGCAGGCAGAATTTAGAGAGAGATGTCCAGGGACGCAACACGCGGCACAGAATGGTTCCTCGTCACATGACTCAGTGGTGGGGTGACGGCGTCCACAGTCCCTACACACAGTCTCCGCTGGGCAAAAACGTGCGATGTGGCCGAGGCCGTGGCAATTGTAGCAGGCGACTAGTTTGGGACGGTACGGATAGACGTGTACCACCTCAAAATCAAGTACCATCCTAGGTGGGAGCTCGGGAGCGCCGAAAGTGAGGAGGAGCATTCCTGTTTTCCCCAGTATTCGCATATCCAGAATGGTTGCACTCTCGCACCGCAGGTGCTGTTGTAGATACTCTAAGGTGTGCTCGGGGCGCACCCTGATAACACCCCGGCAACCGTAGGGACGGGTAGCAGGTGGACGTTCTATCTGAACCTCGTAAGTCTGAAATTGACCGTTAAGCTTACTGACTAGCCGAGAAAGTCCTAGGAGAGCTTGGGCATGCGCGTCATCTCTTACGGTGATTCGGATACTGTTTGCTCGAGTGTCGTAACGGTAGATGGCCATGAGGGCAATGTCTTGTGTGGGAGCTGTACTTTCAATAGCATGAGTTATGGCCTGTTTAGGCAAATCATGAACGTTTACTTTGTTGAGCGGTCTGACAGTCAGGATATGTGGAGGGCGACTCACCCTCTCCAGTCGTAGCTGCTCCGGCTTGGGCGGCTTGCGCTTCTTCGTCACGGTCTTCCATCCCTCGTCCTCCATCGTCACGGCGACGTTATCTTCAAGAGCCATTTCAGCGTCCGGAAGCTGAAGAACCGGTGGCCTGAGCGTAGACGCAGTCGCTTGCGGGGCATCGGTCAGCATTGCAGAGGCATGGATCGCCTTCGAGGAGAAACAGTCGAAGCGGCGAGCCACTTGAAGCCGGTAGGTTTAGTCGACTAGGCGGGCTGTGCCCGGCGACAGGCGTAATGGTACTAGGCCTATCCAGGGCGCGGGAGGCCCAGAGCGGCTCGGGGGGAAAGGACGTCCGACTTGCCGATGCTGGAGCCGTCAGCGTTTCGGGGACCAGCCGGGTTTCTGGGGGTGATAATTTCTCCAGTACCTTCTCCAGTCCAAGCTACAATTATATATAGATAGGATTCTTGAGAGCGATGAAAAGGTGACTAAACGCTGAGACACTTCGTCGTCGTCCTCCAACAAAATAATAATAATAATAATAATAATAATCATACACTGCATTCCATTCTGAACGTGCTTGATGCATCATTTGGCTCTCTCAGGCACGCGAAAACTTTCCCGCCAAAACTAACCACGCACAAAAAAAAAAAAAATATGTGTATATATATATATATATATATATACGAATGCCGGATTAGTCACTGCCATGTGTATATGGCGCACATAGCATTTGGGATGATTTTTTGTTTATTTATTTGACGATTACTTTTATTAGCGGTGTGCGAATATGGCCTCAAATCGAATTGCGCAGCATCGTCCCTAGCCACACCGCGGTAAAGAGGGCCGCGGTCTACCGTGACTTTAATTTGCACATTAAAAGCAATGAGTGTTGCATCGCTATTCGATTCGCACACCCCTAACATTTATGCAATTAGTACGAGTGAAGGTTCGGTTTCAATTAAAAACTTGCCTAGCATTCAAGAAAAAAAAAAAGAGAAGAAATCTATTACGAAGATACAGTCAATTTGAAGGCGTCTGACTTTTGGAAGGTGCAGCCAGTATACAATGTACGCCTCCGAGGTTTCGGCTTCCTATTTGTTATTACCTTCAGTTTTAGAGAAATTGCACACTGAAACTTAAATAGCGCATTCAAAATAGCCCCTTTTTCTTACTTTTTTTTTTGAGGGAAAGGGGGGGGGGGGGCGCTATGTATCTATTTGCAACAGTCCCCGACAGGTGGCTTAAGAAACGTTGGGCGTGGCTTATAATTATCTTCATGCTTCTCGCTTCGTGATTGGTACTTTGGCATTCTTATCGGCTGCTGCCACAATCTGATTGGCTGAGAAGCGATAATGAGATGCAACAGGCTCGCCACGCCCCGTATTTCTCCACACCAAAAAAAAAAAAAAAAACATCGCCTCATAAACAGAAACGCCCGACACATTAATTAACACCGTGGCTTTTTCCTAAAGACCGGTGTGTATCTGTAGAATGCAAAAAAGAAACAAAAACCAGAAGGGCGGGGAAATGTTGACACTTTGCCAATTACTCATCAATGCTTGTGACATTTGTGTACAGTGCGCGTACCTTCGCGTGTGTACGTAAATTGTCGTCAGAGTAGCGTTCCGAGACTTCGTTGGCATGTGGCTGTTTGTGTTGGGAAGGATGGCATGTGGTCGTGGGGCGGTCGACTCGGTTCGGGTCACAGGGCTATCAGTTACGCGCATGCGTGGAAGGAAACGCGCTTCCGCAAAACTGCTCCCGTCGCGATACTCTAAGCGGTAATTAATCGTTGTCTCCGCCGGGCCTCTGAAGTGGTATGCCCCTTTGCTGTTTATAAAACGAGCGGGTTACTTTCTCGACACAGCTGGGAGTTGTCTCGGTGACTTCTTTTCATCGTTCGTTGATTATAATCAACTTACGCGAGGAAAAACGAGGGGTAAAGAAAGAAAGAAAGAAAGAAAATGTGACATTTCTGCACGGTATCTGAGCGGCTTACCCTCTTCCCATCCAGGCGATAATGAACTATCTTTGCTCATATTCTTGACACGATTGTATTCTTACTAGCATCATTTCTGGAAATATGTGTGACCGTATTTTCGTAACCAGAACTT